GGCAGGCGTGATCTGGCCGCAGCTGGTTTCCCTGAGAGTAGAGCAGAAACCCGCAGAAACCTCAGGCATCCCACGTGCGGCTCCAGACCCCTGCAGTGCCCCTCCTCTCGCTGCTCTGTGCTGGGGGCTCTGTGCTGGGGGCTCTGCACCGCCAATGCAACCACGCTCCTTCCTGGCTCCCCACACACCTCGGCTCTGCAGGAGGCTGGCGGAGGGGCTGTGCTACTCCCCACCCCCTTCCCCGGCTCTAAAAGCAAATCTTTGTTCTTGTGGAGCTCTGGCTGCCGGCCGGCTGTCCGCCAGCCAGATGGAAAGGCACGGGGGCTCTCCTCCCTTCCCTGCTTGCTTGCTGCAGACATCCTCTCCAGATCTCTAGGTCTCCCGCTGGAGCTGTGCCAGGCGCTTGGGGTGCACGGTGCAGTCTGGAGCTCAGCTCTGCAGCTGGGCTGCTCCTCGCATGGCCGATGGGTCTCCAGCCCTGCCCAGGTTCCCTCAATGAACCGGTGTCTGCAGCCATGCTGGGCGCAAGGGAGGATCACTGTGTCCCCAGAGCCTGCTATGCCAGGGTGCCTGTGCCCAGTGCCTCTCTAGCCTGCCCACGTGCCTGGCAGGCTGTGCGGTCTTGGAGCTGCAGGAGGAAGCCTTGTGTCCCGAGGGTTGTGGGGGGCCTTGTGTCCCCCAGCTAGCCGCACTTGCGGTGTTGCTGGGTGCTCCTTCCAGCCCAGGGGAGGGCTAGTATCCAGCCTGCCCAGGAGGAGGTGGGGAGCAGTGAGCGCTTGTTCCAGGCAGGATGGGGGCTGCAGCATCCACGTCCACCTCCTCAAGGGCAGTGGATGGGGGGGAAGGATGTGTGGCTCCTCGAGCTGGGGAGGTGTGGGAAGGAGGGTGCCCTCCTGCCAGCCCCAGATGCCAGCCATTCTCCAGCTCTGAGTTCATGGTTTCGGCTGCTTTGCTGCCTGGATGAGGGCTCTCATGCCAAGCGGGTCAGCGGGGCGTGCCAGCAGCTCTCCTCTCCCAGGGGCTGGCTCTGCCCGGGGCCGATGCTGAAGGTCTAAAAATGATGGGGGGGTAAAGCCTGGCCTGGCTGCCTGCAGCCCAGAAGTGTCAGGGCTCAGGGGAGGGTGCAGGGGGCAGCTGGGGCGCACCCCAGCCCCAGGCTTGCCCAAGTCTGAGGGTGCCTGGCTGCATCAGGCAGCCAAGTTGTGGCCATACAGGTGGGCAGGTGCCTCCAGTGCAAAGTTATCTTTTCCTATGTACACTCGGTCCAGTTTCCTGACCTCAGTGCATGCTTATCTCTGGGGCTTTCGCTTGTTTTTCTAGCACCTCCTTTCCTGTACAGTGCTTTGCTCATCCCTCTTTGCTTAGTGCCAACTGTACTGTGCCCATGGGACAGGTGAGGGCCGAAAGCTGGCTGTCGCGGTGTCCTGAGGTAGCTAGTCCTGCGAGCCAGGGCCTTTGCTGTGGCAGAAGGGCTCCTGGCTGCATTTTGGGGCTGTGCCACCACATACCCGCTCCAGACAAAGAGTATTTTGTGGGCACAGCATTGCCCTTTGAAGTTGCCTCACTTGCGAGGCTCCGTGGCTGTTACCGAGCGGCACTATCAAGGGAGTTGTTGACACAGCTGGCTTCTTCCAGCCTCTTGTCCCCAGCTCCCATACCTGGGCTGGGCCATGGGTGCCGAGCCAGCTGGCCCTGTTGCTGGGGGACAGACCACTGTCCCCTCCTGCAGGGCTGTGTGCCAGCCCAGGGCACGTAGACCCTCCTTGCTTTGGCATCCACAGGGCCGGTGGCGATGGCACTCCCAGCCTTGCTGTTACGCAGTCCTTGTCTCTGCTGTGCCCGGCTGGGGCTGCTCTGCTCCCAGCCCCTTGGGAAGCTGCTCTGTTGCCCATCCTGGATCGATAGCCATTACCTTCCCCTGCTGCTCTGGAGCGTGGCCAGGAGCTCCATTACTGCTGCGGGCAAGCGGGCGGCTGGGCTGGGAGGGAGGGTGGCGTGCCCGGGTGGGCAGGTTCTGCTCACTGGGGGTGCGGGTCCCTGGTACCACCCGTGCTATGGGTGGGCAGCGCTGGGTTTGCTTTATGGGCAGGGAGCACAGGAGCAGCGAGGGGCTCGCCTGGGGTATGCTGCAGGGGTGGATGCTCCGATTGCTGGGTTCTGGGTTCCTGCCCGGGTGGCAGGGTCAGAGCTTGGGGAGGGACCCGGGAGTCCTG